CTGCTTTATTTGTTTAATCGTCCAGTCTGTGAAGAGATTATTTTAGGGTGGCACACGCCCCTGAGGCTATCCCATTGGTGCGCCCTTCCACAATACCTCCGCGCCCCCCAGTTTGAGAACCACTGGGCTAGGGAGTGTGTACTAGCATGCGCACGGTCCCAGTCATGCATGACCTTCCCTCCTTTACTGCAGGAATTCACTTCTCTCCATGTTTGGTCTGTGTATTTATATTGAAGCATCATACGTTGTCAACCACAGATGTTTGTAGCTGCTGTTCTGCTAAAAGCTGACCTTGATGGTCTCCCCATGAGCGCAGGTGACCCCGAAGGTCTCCCTGTGAGCGTCTTGACTAAACTTCCGTCATACCCTAAATCACAGTTGTCCTTTTGCAGCTCTTTCCTTCTCAGCATGCTTCCCACCATGCTGATCATCGCCTTCCTGCTGTTCACCTTGCGTCGGGGCCCCGCGGCAGGAGGCCGGCCTGGTCGGGGGGTGGGAGGGCTCTTCAGCGTAGGCGAGACCACTGCCAAAGTGCTGCGCGACGAGATTGACGTCAAGTTCAAAGACGTGGCGGGCTGCGAGGAGGCCAAGCTGGAGATCATGGAGTTCGTCAACTTTCTGAAGAACCCCAAGCAGTATCAGGACCTGGGTGCCAAGATCCCCAAGGTGCCAGAGAAGGATGCATGCTGTCATAAGAGGGCAGATACACCTCTACCCAAAATATGTGCCTGTTCCTCATTAAAATAAGCATCATGGCAGCGTGTTATCGTCAGATTTTGCTTTCTGCCACGTATAAAAGATTCAGACAGACGACGCACCTGGTATTGAAACCTGATATATGGTGTCTTCACCTAATGGATTCCTGCCCACTTTTTTTTTCCCCCTTAGGGAGCAATACTCACTGGACCCCCTGGCACAGGAAAGACCCTTTTGGCCAAAGCAACGGCTGGAGAGGCCAATGTCCCATTCATCACGGTCAATGGCTCAGAATTCCTGGAGATGTTCGTGGGAGTCGGGCCAGCCAGGGTGTGTGAGACGAGGACCCAGCCTGCTCTCAGTGTCGTCTGTCTGCTTTGAGCGCTATGCTAGAATCGATCATTGTTGCTCTGTTTGGGTGTGGTGTTCATGTTTCCAGAGAATAGGAATATGAAGTACTTTTTTGCCACATTTTGCCAGTAATGTGAGTTATTTTCCATAATTCTGCCTTTCTTGCTGGGACCCTGATCCAGTGGGTCCTAGTACCAGATCAGGTTGGCTCTGAGATCCCCATGGGTATCTCATCCTGAACTGGAGCATCTCTGACCCCTGCTCAGGTCCGCGACCTCTTTGTGATGGCCCGAAAGAATGCGCCCTGCATCCTCTTCATCGACGAGATCGATGCGGTGGGACGCAAAAGAGGCCGTGGGAACTTTGGAGGCCAGAGCGAGCAAGAGAACACCCTCAACCAGCTGCTGGTAGAGATGGACGGTGAGGAACATTTAACAGTTTCAGTTGGAAGGCCAATTCGTACCTTTCCGCATGCACTTTTGGTTGCATGACAATTTCGTCATGATGGACTGCCTGCAGAAGGCTGTGGTCTTTGCACGTGTAGCCCAGATTTTTATGTCTAACAGAAACCATGCGCGTCCTTGTGCATCGACCACTCATGCAAAATAATCGATTAGGTTTTTCCAGTAGGTACAGATCAGCAGTCAATGATGAAACAGTAGAGCAGTGGTTCCCAAACTGTCTCTGCAGGGCCCCCCTTTTCTAGATAGGAACATTATTGAGCCCCCCCATTCGAACTACACAGGTTCAGATTCAAACTTTATTTGAAATACAACTCCCTTTTCTAACTGAGTGAAACAAATGCAATTACAAAATACAAATGGTGCAATTTCACCACTGTGGGAGAAAAAAGAGCAATCAATTAAAAATAAAAGTCCAGCATAAGTTTGAAATTATGCAAATACAGATTTAACGTTCCTGCTAATATTCATTTGCATACACAAATTAAAGTTTGTCTTACGTTTACCGTATTTTGTTTTTAATGATAACCACAGGTTTCAGCCTATACTATAGCACAAAACAACACTAAATCATACCCATTAATTGATAGTCTCCCTGCACTTCATGTAGAAAATTTTAAACCTCGTTTTTCATAGATTTTTTTTTGTCTGGTGCTGCAAAACGTCATCACGAGTCACCATGTCACACGGTACAAAAAACCTTGCAGGAGCAAGACGACTTAAGACAGATCGCACAGCACCTCTCAGCCGGCTGAACAAACTGGAACTGCCTCCGTGGCGACACAACTTTGCCCTTATTGGCTGAAGAATGTGTCGTTTGTATGACGTTCATATCCCAGGAAGTTCCGATGCATTATATGCTATTTCTCCCGAATATCATGTAAAGCAGTGAGAACTGGTTTTCAGTTAATTTACCTGCTGAAATAAAGTTTAAATAAATGACATAAATGCTCTAATAGTACACGTAAGTTAGTGGTTCATTTATTGTTAGTTACTGTAATGTTGCACTGCTTTATTTGTTTAATCGTCCAGTCTGTGAAGAGATTATTTTAGGGTGGCACATGCCCCTGAGGCTATCCCATTGGTGCGCCCCCCCGCAATACCTCTGTGTCCCCCAGTTTGGGAATCACTGCAGTAGAGGAAGAGTAGCTGTTGTTGTAGTTGTGATGAGTAGCTGTATGAGGAGGGTTGGAGGTTCCTGCATATCGAACGTTTCATACTGTGCAGATATTATACAGTATATGGTATTTTAAAAAGCAACACTATTCTGGCATTTTGAAATATTGGTGTAATACTGCCCAAGCCTTGACTAATAACATTAAACCTGTTCACGAAAGTTTCACCCATTTCACTACATTGCTTGTATTTGTGTTTGATGCTATACATCTGCCCTCTTCTGGCCTGGTGGAATATCACTGCTGTATGCATGCACCGACCACAACCGTCCGCATCCGCAGTCAAACGTAGTATGAGCACAAGCTGTCACGCCGCGTGGATGACCATCCCCAGCCTGAAAGCGCGCGTAGAAAAGAGAAGCATGAACTAGGCTTGAGGATTAACTCCTACACACACACTTGGAGGAACAAGAGTCTGATTGAACTGAGGACGGTAGTGGGTGCGAATTGGTGGTGCATACTTTGAACACAAGTAAGACAAAGTGATCGTCTGCTCTGCTATTTCTGCACCTTGATTACTGTCCTGCTCCTATTGCCTTCCAGGATTCAACACTGCCACCAATGTGGTGGTGCTTGCGGGCACCAACAGACCTGACATCTTGGATCCTGCGCTTATGAGGCCCGGCCGCTTCGACAGGCAGATCTACATCGGTACAGACACTGTCGGATGCTGACGTCTTCGTTTCAGTCAGACGAGGTTGACAAAGATCTGCTGTGTCTCTGTTCTCCTGCACCCATTCAGGTCCTCCTGACATTAAGGGCAGAGCCTCCATATTTAAGGTGCACCTACGGCCCTTGAGGTTGGACGCATCCCTGGATAAGGACGCGTTGGCAAGGAAGATGGCAGCTCTCACACCTGGATTTTCAGGTGAGCCCGTTCTCAGAGCTGGTGTGAGGGGACCAGCAGATTGGCAACTCCCAGTAACAGCCCAGAACATCCTGATGTTCATGTGGACTGTGTTGCCCTTGGCACACTGCCAGTTCTTCCACCCACTCCTACTCTTCTTAGGTGCTGATATCGCCAACGTCTGCAACGAAGCCGCACTGATCGCTGCCAGGCACCTCTCCGATTCCATTACCCAGAAGCACTTTGAGCAGGCCATCGAGCGAGTGATTGGAGGTGAGCGTGACCTTCTGGGCCATTGTCCGGGGTGCAGATGGTGGGGGTGGGGGGGGGTCGTCTGTCAGGAGCAGTTGAGATTAGAATAGAATTAAAAGTGATAAGAAGCCTTTGGTGGAGTTGAGTGTGTGCAGGATCAGCAGACTGGCTGACTGAGCTTCTGTATGTTCAGGTCTTGAGAAGAAGACCCAGGTGCTCCAGCCAGAGGAGAAGAAGACTGTTGCGTACCATGAGGCCGGGCACGCGGTGGCAGGGTGGTTCCTGGAGCACGCGGACCCCCTGCTGAAGGTCAGCTTCTAACTTCTACTCACACCGCCTTGGGCAGTGACCGTGCATCACGGTACCATGACTACACCTGAGTGAAGCTTTTGAAATGTGTCCGGACTTGATGCCCTCTGTGATTGGCTCTCTCAGGTGTCTATCATCCCACGTGGAAAGGGCCTCGGTTACGCCCAATATCTGCCCAAGGAGCAGTATCTCTACACAAAGGAGCAGCTACTGGACCGCATGTGCATGACCCTTGGAGGACGTGTCTCAGAGGAGATCTTCTTCGGCAGAATCACGACGGGAGCTCAGGACGACCTCAGGAAGGTCACGCAGAGCGCTTATGCTCAGGTAGGGCGAGTGTGGGTGGGCATCCTGAAGAGCTGGCCTCACCACTCAGTGCTGAGGTCAACGTGCTGCATATGAGTCTGTGTTTTTGGGTTATGCCCTCAGATTGTGCAATTTGGGATGAACGAGAAGGTGGGCCAGGTCTCCTTTGACCTCCCGCGGCAGGGGGAGATGGTGCTAGAGAAGCCTTACAGTGAGGCCACCGCTCGCCTGATCGACACGGAGGTGCGTCAGCTCATCAACACGGCCTACCAGCGCACCCAGACCCTGTTGAATGAGAAGAAGGCTGAGGTGGAGAAGGTAGGGCGTGTCAGAAGGTCTCCTTCAGCTTTAGGGGTGGGATGTTGTAAAATTTTAAATAGCTTTAATCCTGGGGAACCCAGACCACCTTATTATAGAAATAATATGTCCATTGGCTAAAATGATCATACAGACCCAGTGAACTCAAAAGCAGGTGCTTTGTAAAAATAACCATTTCCCAGTCCATGTTATGAATGTGTCATATAAGCCCCGCTGGACTGTTCATGCTGTTCCAATTTGTTTAATTTCACCTATGAAATAAGGACAGAAAGGAAGGAAAAACCAAATCTTTGCAACATTCTCATTTTCAAAATGCATTTACTGAGTTTTCCTTTATATCATTCACCATGTGCTGGCAATAAAACACATGCTTCAAAATATGCCAACCCATCAAGAAACAGGTCAAGTGAACAGACCTGCAAAAAGGTGCACTACACACAGAGAGTTTACTTGTGATGGGTTGTAAGGTCTGCTGCACCACCTGTATTCCCTCTGTTTTTGTATGAGGCTGATGTTGAGCACATGGAACATGATCATCACATTTTCCAGAAAAGTTTTAAAACATCCAAAACCTAGTTGTACATGTTCTATAACATCTAAACATTATAACTGATGATGCAAAATTTCTGCCACTTACCTATTTGCAGCTTGACAGGTGAATCTTTGCAGCATGTACAGCAACAACCTCAAAACACGTTGGGGGCCATATTTATTGTGGGGAAAAAAATCTGGTTAATTCAGTCAGTAATCACTAAATGTCACTGTTACTGGGTAGTATATGGTACAATGGGCTGTAAAGCAAAAAAAAAAATTCTTAACTTTGATGAGTGGGTTGAATGTTAGGCAGAAATAAAAGGAAGGGTCGTATATGACCCTGTGGGTTCCCCAGGGTTAAATTGAGTTTGGGTGTTTTTTTACCCCAGGTCATGTTCAGACTGCACGTATTGTGTGTTCTGCGATTTGCAATGGGTGATGTGACCTTCTTTGTCTCAGGTGGCCCTGCGCCTGCTGGAGAAGGAGGTCCTGGACAAGAACGACATGGTGGAACTCTTGGGACAGAGGCCCTTCGCAGAAAAGTCCAGCTATGAGGAGTTTGTGGAGGGCACGGGGGGCATGGACGAGGACACGACCCTGCCAGAGGGCCTCAAGGACTGGAACCGAGAACGGGACAAGGAGAAGGAGGAGAGCACAGAGGAGCAGGTGGCACGACAGATCACGCATGGGATGCCTTTCTGAGGGTCCGGAGACACGGGTGGGGCGGGGGGTTGGGGAAGTCTACTGGGTTTCTGACTGGCTTGTTCATCTCACGCAGTGCATTCCTGTGGTGAACGTCTGGTTCCTTTACTAGAACCTGTGAACAGAGAACCCAGCTGGTGTGTTGTGGACACATTTTGGTTTATTATGCCCTCATCTGGGAAGGTGGAGAGGTCAGCAGCTTTGGGTGTGTGGGGGACTTCCTGCCAAAGGTGGGGGATGCAGAGGGATTCCAGGATGAGCAAGAGAGTGAAAGTCACGTTTGATGTAGAAGAACAAAAGCACTTACTGACGCTGCTTCTGTGAAGTGGATGTGAGGCGAAATTCTGGAATTAAATTCTTGGCTTTGATTTAAAGAAAATGTGTTCAGTTAAAGATGGCTCAATTATTGGCTTTACAGGCTGTACAGGCAATATGTAAATTAATGAAGCTATAAAGGGATTCTGACGCCAAAGAAAATCTGGATGAGATTTTAATTAAACGCAGCCTGTTTAACTGGCATTGGGCAGAAAAATACCGGACTTCATTACTGCATTAGTCAACATAACCAGACTTTAACGTAACCGGGATAAGCTGCAGATTGTCTTTTATGATGGAGCATCTGCAGCGTGTTTGTAGTGTACGTGTTCAGTGCTCAGCGCTGATCCTGTGTTTCGATGCCAAATCACCACTCTTTGCTTTTGTGGAGACTGTTGCATTTCTGTAACATTTCCTGTTTATGGTAATGCTTCAAAGAATCTGTTAGGCCAAATCTGCCCAGATTTCCTACTCACTCTTATCCATTGAGAGAAGGGCTGTGATGTTTTAAGGGGGGAGGGAGGGGAGAGAGATGTTAGTGTTCAGTGATGAACGTTTCAGTGTTTTCCCTAGATTTGTGCATCTTATCTATGAAATAAACTCACCGACAGGAATATCTTGTTTTTTTTGTGATGTAATTGTTCCAGTAATGAGGGCCTTCCAAGGAGATGGCTGTGTAGAACATGAACAATATGCGTGAATGAGTCTGCCCTACTGTGTTCACTGCTGTTCTAAAGTAAAATGTGGTTTGATTTCAGTCTAGCTGATGAAGTGATCACATACAGACTGTTCAAAGTACAGTGGTACCTCAGTTCTCGAACTCATTAGAACTTGAATTTCTTAAAAGTCGAAACAAACCAGTTCGGAAAAAAATGACTTAGAACTCTATCTGAATCTCAGAAGTCGAACCGTGAACGCTGACCTAAGAACTTGTACGTGCGGGGAAATGAGTCACATCTCAGCGAAAAGAAAGGGTAACGCTTCAGTTTCACATTCGCTGTGACAGCATCATTTGTGGGTGATACCTTTTTTTTTTTTTTTTTAAATTGAAAATACTGTATTAAGTAACACTGTACTCACCAAAAAGTTATGCAATAGTTGTACAACTGTTACAACCTAAAAGTTTGATTTACGAACAAATTAATGAATATAGTGTAATAAAAATAAACAATGGACCCCATTGTCCGCGCAGTGTTGGGACATGGCTTGGGCTTGTCACGATCTGCTGAGCTGGGACCGGGGGAAGCAGGGACAAGACTCAAGCGAGCGGGAAACACAAGGTTTAATTGAGAACAGGCAGAACACAATGACGTTACAATGACCCGACTGGGGAAACAAAACTGAAACACAGACTAAATACAGAGGACTAATGACAACCAGAAACAGCTGATCACACAGGGATTCCACACCAGGTTAACGAGGGGGCGCGGGCCACAGAAGGAGCGGACGATCGGGACACAGGACGGTGGTAGTGTCGGGGTACATTCTTTATCGTTTTGGAAGCCATTAAGGGAAAAAAATGCTCTTGTTTTATCCTGTTCATTTTGTGTTTAAATGCTATATATATATATATATATATATATATATATATATATATATATATATATATATATATATATATATATATATATATATAAACCTGAGTTCTGAATGGATTAAGTTCGAGTTCTGAGGTACCACTGTACTTTCCTGCAGGGTTAATGCTGTTTCACTCGCACCCTCTCAGCACAACAGCGCAAAGAGTCCATTCAAAGTCTAAGTAGGGGATTGGTGTGATGACCAGCACATTCCCATATACTGATAAAATGGGAGCACATCACAAGCATACAAGTGTTAGTACAAACTTGGTTTCCACAGAGATCTGCTTTGCAGCCAAGTCAAAGTACAAGGCATTTTTTTGGCTTAAGTTGTGGCAACATCATAAACTGAAAAGGACTTGAGTGGTAGATAAAAAGCACAATTTGGCTATAGTTTACCTAAAATTTCACTAGAAAAACCCACAATAGTAATTTAGTGCAAAAAAAAAAATAATAATAATCCTACATTGTGAAGCCCTATGCTGAGTTTAAGTGCCATTGGTAGTGGTCAATGTGCAAGACAGATCCCACTTAATTTCTGCTTTATTACACAATCAGCTGACATTTATTAAAGTTAAAATCGGAGGTTTTAAGTGTGGATTTTTTAAATAATTCACAGTGATACTTGCAGAGTTAACTAAACCACTCCACTGCAAGTCTCAACCAAGAAGCTTTGGCCATTACGCTAAACCATTGGAAGAGCCAGCGAAGCACATCCAGCAGGGGTCAGTCATGTTCAAAGTACTGCAACACAGAGGACGAGCCACACAGGAGGAGATGGGCCACCCCAGCAGCCATCCGTGCCAGGAAGCAGAGTGCACATCTGCGAAGAGCACAAGTCGAGCATCAGAGCCACATCAAAACCATGCCGTTCTAAAGATAGTTAGCAGAAAGATCAGCAACTCACACAAACAGGTGTTTGGCCTTTGTACACCGAATGTCATAAGAAATGGTATAGGCATCATATAGCCTGGCTTTTATGTTCAGGCAGCCAATGACGTCCTTTGGGTGCAGTTTGTACAGGTCAAAGGTCACCTTGGCTATTCCATTTCTCTTCAGCGTTTTTACAGACATATCCTATTAAGGATGACACCAGAAGAGCAGTCTCAGATAAAAGGCAACTGTACACCTATATGCAAGGAGCCAAAACCAGAACAGAGCCTGTACAAGCACTCTGGAAAATGAGTCACCTTGATGTGGCTCCATGTCTGTCCCTTTTCCAGCACCATGATCTCTGCATCGTTGGGCAGAGATTGGAAGAAGTCTTCCGTGTCGATGACACTGCCGTCCTCTTCTAGGGTCAGGGTCAGGAACTGGCAGGAGAGCAGTAAAGCAGCCCTCACCTGGAGTGCAAACAGAAGATCTTTTCTGGTAGCCAAACCAGAAGACTGAGCAGGGGCCCGAATGCACAAGTGTGAAGCCATTTCCTGCCACAATGCGCAGCCCACATACAAACTAAGGCAGACCGGTTGTACAGTTGCTATGAGAATGCATGAGCTTAGCCTCTTATTAGCTTTGGCCATACAGCTAGGACTGACCAAAATCACAAACCCTGCTGTATAGCCTATTCATTTACTGCTACCAGAGTCACACAGCTAGGGGTTAGGGTTACTGCAAATTGCCAGTATGACCAAGACAGCAGAGGTCCATACCTTATGGACCAGATCATCCAAGGAGGTTGCAGTCACGGCCCGTCTTTGTGCCCGATCATATGTACAAACCCTGAAGGGCCGAGGTGGCAAGAGGGAGAGCCCGTGGGTGAGGAACATGCTGACCAGCGACATTCTCCTGCAAGGGAGCAGCCAGGCTACTCAGATACCACACAAACATGGAAGTGCAGGAAAGTAGCATTTGGAGACCAGACAGACAATCTCTTGTACCACAACAGTAGTATTTAAAGCAAACACACAGATTCCATTCATTTATGGACATTGCCCTAATCTCAGTTAAGAGATCCGCACATATCCAAACAAAATACAAGACGTTTTTTGATTGTAAACAAAAAAAAATCTGAATACAAAGCTGGGTTTCCCCCTTGGGGTGATTGGGGTAATAGAAAAATATACACATGTTCCCACAAGGTGAAAATAACAGGCTGTTAAAAACGCATTGTGGGAATATTTGAAGTGAAGGGGGGTGGGAGAAGAGGCCTGAACACCTTTTATCCGAACGAAGGAAACTGGCACTTCTCGATAACACAATCGAACAGTTTATCAGGGGCGGGGGGAGGCAGCACTCACAAAAAAAAAAAAAAAAAAAAAAAAAAAAAAAAAAAAAATCGCTTTAGTCGCGTCCTCCGCTGCACGGCATAAAGGTAGAAGGCTTGAAAACAGAGCCAAAGAAGGGTTCGCAAGATTATAGGCGGTAGGGGAAACACCCACCTAGCCACAAAGTGTGGAACCAAAGCTTTGGCGTACTCCATGACAAACTAAACGCACTTTAATAACTTAAGAACACTTAAAAATATCGGCACTAGGTTAAAGACTCACGGAAGACAGCAGACGGGGAAGTCCGCAAAATGGCATTTTAATAGCAAAGCAGATTAGCTATTCCTGCAAAGCAATATGCGATGATTGATGCCATCAAGGGAATTACGCAAACTAATGCGAAGGTAAGCATGCTCCGCTGAAGAGCAATGTGAAGCTGACCGGAGTTACCCTAACAAAATTAATGCATTATCTATTTTAATTAGCAGTCAATTCTCTGGGTAGAAATTGACCTGACGCTGCCCCCGTGTTCAAAATGGAAGAATACGATTTTTACAGCCGAGGACCCCGAAGACTCACGGCTGATCAGCCTCCTAATCGTCAAAGGGAGGAGTTTCGGCAGCGTGTGTAATTAAAGCTGTTAATGTAATCGCTTGTGAAATAAACTCTGATTTAGTCATGAGCCTAATTTCAATGAATCGTTTCCCTATTAGATTCAATGCTAATAACGATTGAAAGTGCAGTTTTAATTTTAACGTTAATCAAGAAATCCATTCTAGGAAGAGCTTGGTGTCAAGACCTCGAATGACAGTCATAAATGGGAGTACATATTTTTACTAGCCCGATGTACTACAGCACAAAACTAGGGCCGTAACTGTGACCGAACCTTGCACAGAGCCTTAATCAGCTGTTTTGTTCTGATGAATGCACTTGATAGACTGCACTTGTCACCTTATTTAACGCTATAATTACCTTTTTAAATGATTTTGAAACCAGCACCAATTTTATTAAATGCTCTTTATTTCAAAAATAGATGCACAGTGCTTATTGTTTAGCGTAAGCCATATGGGAATGCATTTCATGGATGGTAATGACAATTTGCGCAGAGCGGGGGTCATATCAACAGATCAGGGGTGAAAAATAAGAGTTTTACGCGCCAAGTCATCTTTGGTCCGGGGACACTCTTCTACCCCCGATTTTATGATGATCCAGCTTTGGTGGTAGGAAACGCTAGCAAAAATTGAAGGTTTTTCACCACAGCCGTCTGCTTGGTTCACAATGCCCAGCTGTACCCAGGGCCTATTTTTATTCTTGGTTGGGCACATCAGAGGACCTCCTGAGTCTCCCTAAATGCAGACATCATGTGAGACAGGACATGAATTACCAAATCTGGCCTTCAGGGGGCAGCCTTAAGTCACACAATTTCCTGATGTACCTTACCATTACAAGGACTAGTGGTATAATTACTGCTATTGTAATACCACTAACTTACTGGTGTTATGAGTACTGCCATTTCTGTGACAGCTTCAGTGTTTTCTAATAAAACTAAGTTTTCTTTAAAAACGTTTTTAAAGGGAGTAAGAATATGAAATGGAAAAATCTTACTTTTCTTCCGAAATGTTCCTAAATTTTCTCTAGTACATTGCTTCTGTGCAAATAAGTTCATATGGTTTTCCCAGTGGAACTGCAGTAGGTGGAAACAGCAATGATTTGTGGAGGAATTTAGCCACAAGGGCCGAATTACCATGTTATGGGCAGGGCTGATCAACCCATTTGCCTAGGGCACCGTCTTTCGAGTCTATACTAACTTAACAAACCCCCCAATGTTGAATAGTACCATGCACCATCCTAGACAAAGTGAAATAGGGTGTTTGCCAGGGGGTGTCGGTGGTGAAGCTTGCCTGAGGTGCCACATAAGCTTCCACTGGGACTGGTGATGGACGTGAGTATAGTGATCAACAGCAATGACCATGATTGTTGACGGCTTCTTGATAAGTAACCTAATTATACTCACCACCCTGCTTTATGTTGCCCCAGCCAGCAACACGACACTCATCATTGAAGGAGAGTCTTCGGGGAGGCTGACCGACTTTACTGCTTTTTCCACAGACGGGGAGAGCTTGAGGAGAGCGATGTCGTTCCTCTGTATGCCGTGAGCATACGCCTCATGTTGAATGAAGTATTTCACTTCCCTTTCATTGCTGGGGTCATCTCTCTTATATATGCCAACATGCACCCGGATTAGTTTTGCATGAAGGCACCTAAAACACCCACATCACAGAGGCACAGTACATTTCAAATACGTGATGATTTTTATATTGGAAAGACATTGAAAAGAGCATATTGCCACACATTGCTTCAGCAGTCTACTTCCAGCCGGTGGTCACCATTGAAGCATCTCCTTCACTTACTGGACACAATGTGCTGCAGTCAGAACCCACTGATGATGAATGAGAGTACCTCCACATGCAAAGTTAGCTTTGGTGTCTCCAGCATTGTGTGGGTTCTGCTCTTTCACAAAAATGGCAACCATCCAAGGCCAACGATACTGGTCCGCCTTGTGTCCTCCTACAATGTCACTTTTCAGCTGATCTCCAACAGATACTGAGAAGAGAGGTTTGGGTTTAACAAATGGCACATTATGGTCCGACTGGAGGACTGTGGTACTGAATTGCTTTTCCTGAATGGATTTGGTTGTTTAACGAATCTCCTTACCTTGATACAACCCAAAAATTAGGAGCAATTTAAATGCTGTCATCTTCAACCTTTCCAAAATTAGGTGGGAGAAATTGATAGAAAACAACGAACTAGCTAAGGGGATACAGAAATGATATACAAAATGGGAGAGCTTAGTGTGAGTCATTTATAACATGTAATAAAACATTGAACAGTAATAAAAAAGAACATGCTATAGACCCTCTAACTGAATACAGAACTAATTGAAACCCAATTAATTAATTAATTATGGTGGTGCAGTGGTTAGCACTGTTGCCTCACACCTCTGGGATCCAGGTTCGAGTCTCTGCCTGGGTTACATGTGTGTGGAGTTTGCATGTTCTCCCCATGTCATCATGGGGTTTCCTTTGGGTACTCCGGTTTCCCCCCACAGTCCAAACACATGCTGAGGCTGATTGGAGTTACTAAAAAAAAAAAATTGTGCATGTGTGAGTGAATCACCATTCCATGTGCCCTGCGATGGATTTGCCCCCCCGTCCTGGGTTGTTCCCCACCTTGTGCCTGTAGTTTCCGAGATAGGCTCCAGACCCCCTGTGACCCAGAAGGATAAGCGGTTTGGAAAATGGATGGAATTAATAAAATTTATTAAGATAGGTGCTTGGGTTTTTATATATAGTTAACCAAGAAAGAGCAGTTAACTAACCTGTTTAAACCACTTATTTTGTGATGTGGCATAGCTTTCACTGATGAAGCATGATTAAAATACATCTTTTCTATTCAGGTTAGAATAACTTTGAATGCAGATAAGCTGTGACCCTGTATATTAGAAAAATGTCTCTTGTTCTCTAATTTTGATAACCACTGTATATTAGTAAACTCCGAGGTTTTGAGCAGACATTTTTAATGTTTAATTTACACAAAAGTCTCACTTGGAAATTTAGTGAGTTTGGGGTTTCCACTCTGTTTACTGATGTTACCTACTACCGATGCTGGATCGCCGGGACAATGAGAAGAAGAGTGTCCCCGGACCACAGATGGCTTGGCCCGCAAAACTGCTCTGATTTTTTACCCCTAACCTGTAGATATGACCCCCACTCTGCATAACCTGCCTCTGACATCCATGAAAGGCATTTCCACATGGCTTATGCTAAACAATTAACATGTGCATGTAGACATTGAAATGTCGTCTCATACATTGTAGAAATAAACAACATCTCAAAGTCGTGCTGGTTTCAAAATGTATCACTTCAAAGCTGAGGTAATTAGCATTAAATAAGGTTACTCAGTATATCTAATCCATTCACCAGAACACAGCAGCCAATTAGGCCCTGTGCATGGCTAGGTCACCAGTGTTTATAGGTCAGTTACAGGCATAGTTACCAGTTTTGTGCTGGAGCATTTCATTTGCCCCCTCCCCATAAAATAGATCTTTACATTTCAATTATTAAATTGTGCCCCCCACAATATCAAACTCCTACACACTTGTAATTAACAGTATATGAATATATACATGTTGGGTAGGTAGCTTTCCAGTATGTAGGGTTGATGCTGATTCATTTCTGCAGATTTTCATGCTGACAGACAGGCTGAATCATTGTGGGTTCAGTGGTCTGCAGACGTGATGTAGCTCTTTATCTATCTTGCTGTTGAGGCTTCCCGTTTGCTCTGAGAACAGCAAGGGCTAACCTGTGCGGGGTCATAAGAGCAGCAAAGCGTGCACATGCAACCAATTCCTGCCTGTAAAAGTGTTTAATACGTGCACAAACATTGATCGGTAAATATAGTGGAAAACCCAAACACAATGAGTTGTGCTATATTTCCAAGTGAGACTTTATGTCTAATTCATACAATGTCTGCTCAAAGTTTAATATACAGAGGTGATCAATTTGCCTAACTGATCTCTGATTGCCTTAATCGGACATCATTAGTGCCGAGGTGGATAACAATTTGAGAATATTTACGCTTACTGTTAACCAGCACTTTTTAATTTGCTGAGATGTCGGTTGCTCTGGCACCAGGGAGACAGTTTACTATGGTCATTAGAGTTGCTACTCTCTTGTTTCTTAGAATAGAATCTCCAGAGCACTTTCGACAGGCATCTCAACGGGTGTTTCACTGAGTGAGGAGAACCTAGCTGTTGGAAACGCGAATCAGCGAATGGTGCCGGTGTGACTTAGGTTTGGATTTACTATTATACCGCCGGGTCGTCACCCACTCACCTTGCTGCGAAGGCTCTGCTATCGGAGCAGGGGGAGACTGATTAACAGCTTTAATAAAATACATACATAAAATAGATATCCGTGTATAAGTTAATTGTTAGTGCACCATCAACTTTAAAGGACTTCACCTTCCAAGCCCGGAGTTTTCCCACCTTCGCGTCAGTATACCGCCACGGCTCCTGTTTAGCATTAGCATTAGCATTAAATAAGGTTACTCAGTATATCTAATCCATTCACTAGAACACAGCAGCTAATTAGGCCCTGTGCATGGTCTATTGTGTAGATTTATGAGAAGCATTTTAGGAGAAGATCAACTGACAGGAACATGCAGGGGTGGGGTTGCGTCCTTATGCATAAGGTTATGCACCCTTTTCAAATCGTGTTGCACTGAAATTGAATCTGTGAAGCTTGATCAGATAACTATAGGTCCACTGTGTGTATTATCAAAAAATTATATAATCATCTGGGAGATCCTGAGAGGGTGCATTTTACAGCAGGGTACGTACCTGCTGGGAATTTTACCCCCTTTGAATTCTGGCTCTGTTGGTGCTATGTAAATGAAACTTGCTCAGATAATACAATTTGCCATACAGAGTGTACTCTCCAAAGCAATGTTGTGATAAAATGACCTGAGACAAAGATGCGGGGGGGATGGACATCCAATTTAAAATTATTTTTAAAATTATTTTATGGAGTGAACCACATGTTGCTGAAGGAGGTTCTGATACTCATTAGTATTCACCTTACCATGTGAGAGGTCTGTCTCCTGCAGCAGAGAGCATACACC